GTGTGGGGGGAGCCGGAGAAACGCGGCATCATCCCCATCTCCTTCGAGCACATCTTCACCCACATCTCCCGCTCGCAGAACCAGCAGTACCTGGTGAGGGCCTCCTACCTGGAGATCTACCAGGAGGAGATCCGGGATCTCCTGGCCAAGGACCAGAGCAAGAAGCTGCAGCTGAAGGAGAACCCGGAGTCGGGGGTGTACATCAAGGACCTCTCCTCCTTCGTCACCAAGAACGTGAAGGAGATCGAGCACGTGATGAACCTGGGGAGCCAGACGCGCGCGGTGGGCAGCACCAACATGAACGAGCGCAGCTCCCGCTCGCACGCCATCTTCCTCATCACCGTCGAGTGCAGCGAGACGGGGCCGGACGGCGAGGAGCACATCCGCGTCGGCAAGCTCAACCTGGTCGACCTGGCCGGCAGCGAGCGCCAGAGCAAGATGGGAGCCCACGGAGAGCGCCCCAAGGAAGCCTCCAAGATCAACCTCTCCCTCTCCGCCTTGGGCAACGTCATCTCGGCGCTCGTGGATGGCAAGAGCACGCACATCCCGTACCGGGATTCCAAGCTGCCCCGGCTGCTGCAGGACTCCCTCGGCGGCAACGCCAAGACCATCATGGTGGCCACCTTGGGCCCGGCCTCCCACAGCTACGACGAGAGCCTCTCCACCCTCAGGTTCGCCAACAGGGCCAAGAACATCAAGAACAAGCCCCGCGTGAACGAGGATCCCAAGGACACCTTGCTGCGGGAGTTTCAGGAGGAGATCGTCCGGCTGAAAGCCCAGCTGGAGAAACGCGGCATGCTGGGGAAGAAGAGGAGAAGGAGCAGCCGGAGGAAGAAGGCGGTGGACGGAGAAAGCGCCACGGAGAATGAGGGCGAGGACGACAACGAGGACGGGCTGGAGAAGAACATGGAGAACTACTTGAAGGAGCAGAAGGAGAGGCTGGAAGAGGAGAAGGCCGCCATCCAGGATGACCGCAGCCTGGTCAGCGAGGAGAAGCAGAAGCTGCTGCAGGAGAAGGAGAAAATGATCGAGGATCTGCGGAAGGAGCAGGAGGCCACGGAGCTGCTGGCCACCAGGTACAAGGTACGTGTTGCCACGCGCCGCTGCTTCGCCTCCAGCTCCTCGTGGGGTGCTGGGATGGGTGAGCTCCCAAATAGGGTGTCATGGAATCCCAGACCGGTTTGG